TAAAAATTAAAAAAATAAAAACAAAAAAAAGAATTAATTATTGTGATTTTAATAAAAAGAAAAATTAAAAATTAAAAAATTTAATAAATATGAATGTATATGTATACACACACACACAGACACACACGTACATAATTATTAAGTAAAAACATTAAAAAAAAAAAATAAAATATAAATGTGAATATAATATCAAAAATATCAAAGAAAAAAAAAATAATTTAATAAAAATATTTTATTAATTTTTTTATTTCCCACAACAATTCTAGAATTTCAAATAAAAATAATTAAAATTTTTTTTTTTTCAATATTCCTTCTTATAAAAATAACCAAAATATCAAATAGGAAAAATGTCAAAATTGACTAATTTACTTATATTATAAATTGATTTATGCAAAACTTATATAACTGTAAAATTGACATAATCATAATAATTTTTATGTGTCTTAATTATTGTGTTTAGAAATGTTTTAAATAATAATATTTATATTTTATTTACAAATAAATTTTCCCTTTATTAATTTTATTAAAGCGTAATACGAATTAAAAATGAAAGAAAAAAATAACAAAAACATATAAAATACAAAATTATCATTTTAAATGTCAATCTGTCAAATCAAAAAAGAAAAAACAAAACAATTGATATTTTAGATGAGAAACTGTATTATCAATTTGAGTACAAAATCTCTTATTATTTTGCAAAATTCTATATTTTGACATTTATATTATTTAAAAAAAAAAATCAAAATATAAATTAATTTTATTAAAAAACAAAAAAAAAAGAAATATAAAATATTAAAATGAAAAAAAAAAAATTATATGTGTAATTTTTTTTTTTAATAAAATTCGAACCATTTGGTAAAAAATTAAATTTTAAAATTAGGTCAATAAGAACAAAAGAAAAGAAGAAAAATTTAAAAATTAAAATTAAATTCAAATTGTACCTTTATATTTACATTTATAGAAAAAAAAAATGAAGAAAAACAAGAAATTAATAAAACAAAATTAATTGATTAATTTGAATATTAATGTAATGAACAAAAACAAAACAAAATAAATAAATAAATAAACACCATCTGTAAACAAAGAAAAAAACTATTGTATATGATTGTGAAAAAAAGAATTTATAATAATAAAGAAAGAAAAAAAAGCAGAAAAATTAAAAAAAAAAAATAATAAAAAATTGGAATCCCGACCCATCATATACCAAAAATTTAAAAATTTAAAAAAAAACAAACAAATCCTACTAATTTCTCCTTTTTTTTAACTACCATTATTATTAGATCGCCCTCCTCATGTCCTCATTGAATTAAAAAATTAATTTAAGTAAAATTAAAAATTCTATTTTGAATTTTATTTAAGAATTACATATTTTACAAATTTAAATTCAAATCCCAACATTCAATAACAATATTTCCCACATTAAAATTATTTGCCCCCTCCCCCTTTCCTTTCAATCCCACAAAAAAAAAACAAAAATCTATAAAAAAAGAGTAATTTAAAATTAAATCTATGGTAAAGATTCGGTGTTGCAAAACACACATCGTACACTCGTATGTAATAGAAAGGTTTGTATCGTTTTTCTCTAATAAAAATTAAAATTTCTCTTTATTGGAAATGGCATTTTTAATATTTACTATAATGATAAGACACCTAGAATTACCGTGTATTTGAAAATTCAGTTCTAATTTTTCTATTAAAAAATGTTAAGGAATTATTTTTATTGCGAATTGGCCACGTATAAGGTGTATGAAAAAATTTTCTCAGAATATTTTTCACTTTGAAACAGTACGGCCATTTCAAATTTTTGCTCAGTACTTAAACGCAAGAAATTTTTCATTTTTGAATATCAAATTTTCAAAAATGCCTCGAGCAACACAAAAGCAAATGGCATTTTCAGTGGATTGAGACCGATGGATTGTTTTATATGTTATCAATTTTTATTTTGTTTTGGTGGCTAAATATCTCTATCTTGTAATCTTATCAGATTAGTTACTACATACTGAATGGGCTTTAGAGGTGTATAGTTCGACTTTGTTTTCAGGTCCGAAGCGGGAAATTTTGTCCAATTTTACGAATCGTTAGATGGAATCCACCCTTAGATTTTTTTTCTCTTGAGGTAGCTGCAACTGATAACATTGTGGTTGCAAATTATAATTGTAATTTTCAATTAAATGATTTTAAAATTTTGAATAATTTGAAAGATTCACTAGATGTCGAAAATGTAATTGCTTCTGGTGTTGATGTTAAGGAGTGTGTGTGGGGGTTTTCTACGCTAACCTTTTTGACTATTTCTAGGACTTTAATTCTGCTGTCAATATCATGCAGTTTCTTTAATCTGGTATCTTAAAAAAATTCCCGTAATTTGACTTATGGATTTTTTTTTCATTATTTCTGGTTTTTGGTAGTATATGATAAATTAAAGATTATAATTTATTTAAGGGCTCCACAGGATAGCTATTGAAGTCAACTTTTGTCATTATATTGATAAATAATTTATCAAATTTATGGTAAACTGCAAACTGCAAACTAAATTTAGTAACGATGACTAGTGTGTTTTCATTCGTACGGGAAAATTCTGAGACGGTTTAATATTATAAGATATTTTCGGATCATGCTTGGCTGTAAGACACACCTTAACATTTACAAATGTATATAAAAACTGTATTACAACAGTTTTGCGGTCAGGGTAAACATTATAGCATCAATTTATAATTTTTAATAAAGAAAGCAACAAGAAAAAAATTAATTGAAACTATACGTACATACATACATACATATGTGTGTTTTTATTACATAAAATCTTTTGTTACAATTTTCAAGGTGAATCAATGCTGAAATTTCCAACTAGTTTCGATTTTTATATATTTTTTTTTTGTTTCTGGTACACGTTTCAAGTATGTAAGTAATTTAAAATTTGTATCATTGCCAAAAATTATAAAAAAACTATCAACAAATTGTAGTCCAAAATAACAAATTTTATAAAGTAAAAAAAACTCAGGTAAATGCATTTTTAATTTTTTCTATTAATTACCTGATAAATAGCAAGTCACTTGCAACTACGTACTTATTTACAGCGAGAATAGTTGATATATGTATGTACATATATAAATATTTAATTTAGTAGCTCTTATAAACTTTAAGAAACTTATAATAGTTTTTTTTTTAATTTTTATAATTAAACAAATATTTTAAAAGTGTGAATTCTTTGTTCGCCGCCCTTCTGCCTTTTCTTTCTTCAGCTTGTTTACATGTGCTGTGGTAAATGTGTTGTGCATAACTTAAGAATGACCCTTAAATAAAAAAATATTTTTCTTTAATTTTTCTTACTTTTTTCATTTATAAATTGGGAACGTGACAAAAGTAAAAACTATAATGGCGGCAACTATTTTTCCATTGTTGACTAAATTAATAATAATAAATTGAAGACTCAAAATCTTTTTTTTTGTTTTAAAACAATCAGAAAACTGAAAACAACTTAATGTTTCATTATTCTCTTTTATTTCTGAAATTAAAATATTATTTTTAAAAAAGATTATTAATTTTAATAAATAAAAAACAGAAATTCGAAAATAACGAGAAATAAAAAATAGAGTTGACCGTGTCAACTCTGTGATACCCATACGAATTTGTTATTCTATGTGCGAGTTATGAATATTTGCCATAGCTTATGTTACCATATTACCATATTCATTTATGCAAAATTTCAGTACTGTGTTTTCAATATTTTCTTAGCTACCAGAAGGAGCCAAGCAATTTCAACGACTTTTACCAAACACATTGGTCCTACTAATATATTCGTTTGTGTGAAATTTCAATACCATACAACTTTTACAGTTTCTGAGATATAGCCAAATAAATTTGAAACTAGTTTGGCAGGTACCCGAACCAGTACCATGATCATAACCAATTTAAATAGGATTACTATAATAAATCATTTCTTAAAATTTGGTGAACTTAGCTCAATTAGGTTTTGAATTATCGTTGAGACGGACGGACAAACAAAACTAAATCGGGTGAGAATTCGATACTGATCAATAACATACACTTGAATCTATATCTCAGTTCATTATTTCTTAGCGTTACAAACGGTAACGTAAATTTAGTATACCCTTCGAACATACGTTCATTCGGATATAAAAATTTAAATGAGAAGAGGTTTATATTTTTATTTACAGAAAAAAATTTAATATGCGCACAATATTGCAAAATTACATAGTTGTTGAAAGTGATTATTCAATTTGTTACCTTCATTGTCGAACGTATACAAATCAAATTATTGTTGTTATAGATTTGGGAAGATTTTCAAAAATTCATTTCCAACTTAGAACTTACCATACTGGATGCTCGATAAATCAAGACTACAAAATCTTCAAATATAGAATGTTCGATAAGTCGCTAACGTACAAATCATGAATGTTCGTAAATCGTAACACATTTAAAATTCTAAAGTAAAATTCAAATTATTGAAGATTTTATAACAAATGAATAATGGGCAATGATGAAAATATAATGTTCTTGTAATGGTGTGTTTCCAAAATGACGATTGTATGTAGTGTTCGTATGAAAACAATCATGATGATTACTGTATAAACAATATGGAGAGCAATTTGTCGGTAATTGCTAATTTCTTCATACTTCTGTAGTTCCGTTGGTACAGTGTTCGCCTAGAAAGCTGTAGGGAACTGGTTTGAGTCCAGTTCGAGCAAGAAAATTATTTAATTTTTCTGCCTTGACTCATTCCTTTGGTTACGTTATCCATCTGTATCTGTAGTTATATAAATGAACTTCTATTTTATTCATATTGAAGATTTAAAAGGCATTTTCATTATCTTGTAACACTTTCAATAAACTAGACAATAGTCATTACTGTTGCCTGTTAACTGTTGGTAATCATTACTGTTGTGCTGACTACATCAGATTTTTTTAATTCTTTAAAGAAAAACCAAAATTTTTTTATAATTTTTATGAAATTTTTATTTATTACAATAATAATTATAAATTTTTATGACAATTAATTGATGAAAAGCGGTTCCGTAAGATTATGTGAATTCAATTATTAATTAAAGTGAAAAAGACTAAAGTAGAGAAAAACTTATTTAAAATAATTCTAATTTTAATATTGTTAAGAAAAATTTCTTTTTTGTTATTAAATAGTTTGAATTATTGTAGACGAAATTTTAAAAATTAAATTGGAATTTTCTTTTTTTTAAAAAAAAAAAAACAAAATTTAGAATGACTTCCAAAATTCCAAAATAATTTTTTCTTACACAAACAAAAAAAGAAAATGCAAACTTTTACAAGAAATTTTTTTTTCCAAAAATAATAAATTTTTAATTTTATATAAAAATGTTCTTGTTGTTGTTTTTTTTAAGTATTATTTCTTTTATTTTAACGTGGTCTTCCCATTCCTCTGCCCATTGCACCACCTGGTGGTCCATCAGCTTGTGATTTTGGACTTTTAATTGTTTCATCAACTGATAAAATCATACATGCAGCTTCACATGCTGCTGTTAATGCATTTATTTTAATAACAGCTGGTTCCCAAACACATGCTTTAAAATTATCTGAAATATTCTCTTTCATAATATCAACACCATACCAGCGTTCGCCTGGAATTAAAAAAGAAAAAATAAATTGTTAGATTATCAACACAAAATATTTGCTTATTATAGAATATTTTATTAATAATTTTACTCATTCCTATAGTTGTAAATAATTTTTTTAGAAAAAAAAGTAGAAAATTTAAATTAAATAAAATAAATATTAAGTTTTTATTTAATTTCATATATTAAAGTCTATAATGCAATTGATTTTCATGAAAATTTCAATTTAGAAATACAAAAACCTAAAAAGTTTCAAATGTCCGGGCGATTTTCGTTAATTCAATTCTAGAATAGTTCTAATTAGCATTCTTAAATTAATTCTGTAATAAAGAAATGTCATAAATGCAAACACCAGTGTAAAATTTTTCACTCATCTAGTTTAAACTTTGTTCTTTTCTTAAATTTAAATATTTTTATTTTCAAAAAAATATTTTTAAGCATAAACATAAAAAATTTAAATGATATTTTTGCAAACTTTGCGCGACTTGGAAATTTAAATTTTAATGACCAGAACTTCCAGCGCAGTCGAGTACACAAACAAAAACCACCTCCTTTCTAAAGCCCAAAATTTAAATTAATAGAAAAAAATTATGGTATCGATCAATTCCTTGCTCCTAATTCATTCATTGCTCTGATTTCATATCCATAAGCACTTTGGAACGTAAAATTCCAATTCAATCAAATTATTGACAATTCAAAAATCAAATTAAAGAGAAAAACTCTGACAACTTGTTTCGTGATAAATGACATTAATGATTAGAATATTTTCACAAATGTATGCATGTAATAAATTAAACGTAAGCGAATTTTTTTTTTGAAAAATAATAAACTGTGGTTAATATAGAAAATTCTTACAGCCCGCTTCATTAAAATCACTGTTACTTCAAATTCAAATGTCAAATCAAAATTAATTATTTAAGCTATCAATTAAAAATCAAATTTTGTAATTCAATTAATTAGCAATAAGAGAAAATTTCCTTTTTTTTTTTAAATTCCAAAAAAGTTTTGTTTTTAAATATAGATTTGTGATATAATCCTTTCTTTTCTGCTCACTAGCTAAATTAATAAAAGGAAAAAATAAAGAATACGAAAATATTAACAGTTATGTATGGATGTGTGTATTACAGCTGTAATATATGTATGTTTGATTTAAAAATGTAACGATAATGTATTATGGCATTTAAGATGAATGAAAATTTCTTATTTTTTTTTTTATTTTTTATAAAAGACTACGTAAATTGCTGGAAAACTAATAAAAAAAATATCCTAGATTGTTTTTGGGTTTGTTTCCTTTTTTTTTTGTTTTTGTATTCAAGGACATTTTGGACGTCATTATATATAATATTAAGGAAAAAAAACACAAATTACTTATATAGAAAAAAATAATTTTGATTTCAAATTAAATGGAAAGAAAAATGGAAAAGGACTCTGGTCAAATCAATGGTCTGCAAAAAAGTTGATTTCATTTTAATAATTTTCTTTTCCATTATGCAAATATTGTCTGAGTTTTCAGTATGTTGTAGTTTTTTTATTGCCATTTTACTTTTTCTAGAAGTCTGGGAACACTTTATACACATATTCATAAATAGCTTATTTTAAATTATTTTCAAGATGGTTGTTAAAGCAGTCTAATATATTTGTGTATATATATATCAATGAAAATGCAATCTCGAACATTATAATTAAAAATTTGATGAGAACACAAAGCCTCACAGGCTTCATAGTGATACGTATATACCACATTTCTCAATCCATTGGTTGAGAAAGAAAAAATTGAGTGGCATAATCCAAAAATGTATAGAAAATTTGGTCATTATTTTCATTACGTCAGTTTTGAAAGGTGACAAATTTAGTTGAGAAAAAAATGAGAAAAATTACTGTAACAATTAATGACTTTATCCTATTAGAAGGGTGGTATATTTAATTTAAAAAAAAAAAAAAACTCAGGTGGCATCTAATTTAAATAAGTGACAAATAATGGTGACTGAAGAAGTGAAATAATGAGTTTTCCAAAATTATTTAATTAATAGGCTTATTATGGTTCGCGAAACGAATGTCATTGTTCTCGAATTCGCAACACGAATGCCAAGCGTTCATTTAAATTTTAATTTAAAAAAGAACATTTGACATAATTAGTAGTACTAATAGAAAGCCATCCGGCTATAGTTCGTGGTGAAATCAAATTCGACATCAATAAAAATATATTAAAGAAAATGTTGGCGAACTTTACTGTGGAGTTAAACGCTTTCGGATCTCAAATGAACTTTCTGGTAACTCCAATGTTTCCAAATTTTTTTCCTCATTAAAAAACTTCGTTTCTTATCTTCAGATATTTCTTAAAAATTAAATTAGTTTGGTTTGGGTTTTTCACCTTGACTAGGATTTTTTAAACGAAAATAAAAATAATATTATTCTTTATTCCTCAAACTTTATTACCAAGCCTAAACTACATAAAATATTCTTAGACATTAAAATTTCAATAGTGTTGGAACAGGAACCTTTCCTGCTTTTTTTTTTCAAAGTAAAAATAATAAAAATTGCTTATAATTTTTTTATTTTGTTTTTATGAAAAATAAAAGTGGATAATTTACAAATTTAGTAACAATAGAACAAAAGAAAATCCAAAACAATTTCTCTTAATAGTTCTAGTAACATATTACTTACACTCATATGTATGTACGTATGTATATATTCCCTTAGAAGCAAAAAATTTTTTTATTAGAATTGCAAACCATTTAAACATTTAGGTAGCAAACCAAAAATTATAAATTGCCACATTAAATTATTTTTAATAAAGTTAAAAAAAAAAAAAAAAATTGAGTTCGTGCAGGTAAGCAATAATAAATAAAAAGGAATTTTAAAAATTACCTTAAATCACCCAAATACCTGCTCAAAAATTTTACCTTGTTTTAAAAAGGTTAAGATAGGCGGCTAGAATTTTTCTTTAAATAAATTTCTTAAAATATGACGCCAAATTTCAAATTTGTTTAAGTAATAAAAAAAAAAAGTTTTATATTTTATATGTACATAGGTAAAAACACAATGTTTCTTTAATTAGGGGCAGGTATTTTGACAGGTATCTCTATTTCGAGAACAGTTGTCCAATTTTACCTTACAAACATTCATCTGATATTTCACCATATGCAGTTGTTTTTATCGATCTTAGTTTATGTCGTTTACAATTCAAACTAAATTGGAAATAAGTAACTAGGTAGACTCAAAATTGGAAATAAGTTTTGATTATATAAAATATTAAAATAGAAAAGAAAAAATAAAACCGAGCGGCGCCCGATTTTTTTATTATTCTATTGATATTCTCCTAAAAATTTGGATGGTGTTAACAGTATGGAAGTTTTAAAATCATGCTGATTTTAAAATTAAAAGTTTTTCCACAATTCATGTTAAACAAGACGGAATTTGGATCAATTGGATTGATAATTTAATTCTTCTCAATTGGATTGACAATTTGTGCCAACTACAATTTTAGATTTGAGATGTGGAAAATATAGGAATAAAAAAATCACAATTTTAAAATGTTAAAATCCGAAAATTCAATATTAATGAATTTCAGAATATTCTGACGAATTTTGCTATATGTACGAGTATTCAATACAATAATAATTTTTTATCTATTATTACGAGTAGTGGTGAACTGGAGTCGGCTCGGTCCGCATGAGCCGTTTTTTAATTTATCCAACAATTTGCGAGTCGTTTGAAATGAAATTGGAATTTAAAACAAAAAAATTCGAAATCCATCTAGTAACCAAAGTTTTACCAAAAATCATGCAATGTTAACTATTCCACTTCATAACTATTCATGCAATATTAACTATCTGTCAGATCTCTTAACAATTAATTTGTGGATTAAAACTATTAAAAAAATGGAATACTAAATATTATGATTAAAAGTTGGATAACAAAGCATTGTTCGACTGAAGGTGAAAATTCAAGGTGAATACAATTTAAAAAAAAAAAAAAACATTTTCTTGTTTATTACTTATTTCGTTTATGAATTTACAGATATTATAAGATTGCGAGCCGGTTGGTAGAAATTTCTCAGCTCACCATCGATTATTACCCGATCAAGCGTAGTTGAAGTCTATTTTATGCCTATATAATAAACATTAGTCGACTTGAAGTCAGCTTCACTCAAGTCAACAAATAAAATTTTATTTACTTGACTTGAAATCTTAAAAGTAAAAATACTGCTTGAGCGCTCGTCAGCTTCAAAATGACAGAATACAATTTTTTGTCATAAATTACAAAATTATTGTCATAATGTCATAAATTAGAATTACAAAATCTAACATATTGTCAGATAAATAGATTTCGTATTTTTATTTCTACATTTAATGTATTATAGTCTGTCGAAGCTTACATATAGTAAAAACTCGAGCTGATTTCAAATCAAGTATTCAAAGTGCCATTATCATTTATAATCTTGTGGATATAAGAGCGGAAACACGAGGTAGGTATATGAGTAGAAATTTAAAAAAGTTTTTGATGAAGCATAATTCAAAATGATGAAACAAAGATAAAGTAAATAACAAAAAAGCTTAACTTGTACAATTATACAAATTGAATTTAATCTAAATTCAACCAATATTAATTAAAAATCATAATAGAAATAGCACTTTCTTTAGTTTGTTCTTACATTCTTTTGTGTAAATTGTGTAATATTTGTAAAAACTGAGAATAATGCCAACAAAAAGAACTTATATAGCTTTTATATTTAACATATTGTGTTTTAGTTCAGGATTCCAGCTTATACAGAGTGTTTCGCATAAGACAACAAATAATTTCACAGATGATTTCCAGCAAAATATAGTGACGGCGGGAGCCCGTTGGCTAGTATATGTTGTAAGGTTCCGAGGTTATAAATATTTATTTATATGCAAGAAAAATCTTGTACTTGAAAAAAATAACAGACTGTAGCTCGAAAAAGAGTATATCTACTTTCATTCTCTCATATGATTTTTTGCTGGAAATTATCTCTGATTTGCTTT